CCTGAGCAGTTTCCTCCCAATATAATTACTTTTACATTCTCTCTCGTTTTATCCTATTTCTCAACACCCCTATGTAGTCCATGTCCTCATGTCGTCAACCTGTCGCACTGACGAGCTCGGGGGTTGGCTAGACAATGATGATTCGTCTGCGATACCGAGCGAAACGGATCATCTGTGCTCTGGAGTGTATTCCTTTCCCAATGTTTCCTTTTTCTTTGCTTCTAATTGGACTGTACCAAACCGTGCGGAGGGCACCACGTCAGAGCGTCAGAGGATTTTCTTCACGCCGAGAACAGTAACAATTATGGGCCTCTTTCTCATGACCCTTCAGGGAACCACCGACAGGGCGACGGACCGCTCAGGCGAGGCTGCAAGAATCACAGGGCCAACGGAGATTTGAGTCGCCCAGGACTAGGATGACGATCTGTACTTTCAACGCACGGACGCTTGCATCGGAAGCTCACATCGAAGATCTGATGTTGCAAGCCAGGAAGATCAAGTACGACGTCATCGGACTGACCGAGACGAGGAGGCATCGCCCGCTACGCCGTATACGAAACTGTCCCTCGAAACATGCGACAGTAGAGGCATTGGCGGTGTGGGGGTTCTCGCCAACGCGCGCTTGGCCATGAACAACTGACGACCCGAATCGGACGTTTGCGATTGAGAAGATGTGGTTCAACTCCAGCTTTGACAATCTTCGTCGCCTACGCACCAACATCAAGCTACGACGAGGATGAGCTCGAAGCGTTCTATATGGAATTGGAGAAGTTCTACAAGGAAGATCATACCTTCTTCAAGGTCATCGTCGGTGATTTCAACGCTAAGATCGGACCAAGAAGAACGGCTGAAGAACTTCACATCGGAACTCACGGAACGGAGTGGAATGAGCAGGGTGAAAGGCTGTCTGAGTTTATCATGTCATGGTAACTCGCAGTTCCAGAAGCCCTACTCTCACATGGGAGTCTCCTGGTGGACAATTCCATAACGAGATCGACCACATCATCTTCAATCGAAGGTTTTGCCTGACCGATGTCGCTGTTGTCCTAAGTTCTACACGGGATCCGACCACCGTCTCCTTCGCGCGAGATTCCGCTTTTCGATGCGAGGAGAGAGAGCCGCAAAGTTCAAGAAGCGAAGCCCCAAGACCGTCATCAACTGGGATCACTTCACTTCTCTCGCTGGGCTCTGGGAGGATTCCGTCATCGACAACATCGACGAGGAATACGAACGGCTTGTCGCATCTTCACGACTGCGCCAAGAAGTCAGAGAGTTCCAAGATTACCAAGAATCTCTGGAAACTCTCGAGCTGATTCGCCAACGTGGAGCCGCACGAGCCGCAGGCAATTACCAGCTGACGTCTGAGCTTGCGAAGCTATGCAGAGAAGCGATAAAGGAAGACCTCAAGGAGAGAAGAGCAGCAGTACTGGTGGAAGCCGCAGAGGCTGGGAAGAGCATACGCAACGCCCGCCGCGACTTCGCCAACTGTAAGACCAAGATGACCGCCCTCCGACGTCCGGATGGAACAATCACCGCATCCAGAAGGGCAATGGAGAAAGGTCATCCACGACTTCTACTCGGATCTCTTTGACAGCCACGTCCACCTGCCACCATACCGCTTGGAGCAGGATGGATACGTCGTTCCTGCAGTTCTCCCTTCCGAAGTCCGACACGCCATCTCGTCGGTGAAGAATCGTACGGC